TTTGACGGCGTATCTGTCCTCCTGCTGTGGACTCTCACTCTGCACAAACTAACATGAAGCACAGAGCAGCAGATTCTGTGAGTGGGGAGGAGACGCATGAAGACAGGTGAGCACAGTGAGCAGGTTTACCTTGTCCTGAGTGTCCAGCAGGGGGCACTCCTGCCGGCTCTGGTCCAGCAGACACATCTCTTTGACAGCGAAGCCGCTGACGCAGTAAGCCTCGTAGTCGACGCCCATCAACAGGCTGCACAGCAGGGTGGCAAACTCAAAACATGTGGCTGTCTGAGTCCGCAACACCGCTGTGGGGGAGAACAGAGTCCTGGGCTGGAAACACACACACACACAGACACACACACACACACACACACACACACACACACACACACACACACACACACACACACACACACACACACACACACACACACACACAGACACACACACACACACACACACACACACACTCACACACACACACACACACACACACACACACACACACACACACACACACACACACACACACACACACACGCACACTCACACACACACACACGCACACTCACACACACACACACACAGACGATTGGACAGCAGTGTAGGCAGATGGACGAAGACAAACTAACCCTCAGAGGAACAGAGGACTGGTCCTGGTTCTGGTTCTGCTGCTCTCTGACTCACCAGGTCTTCAGGCGGATCCAAAGGGACCAGAGACAGGAAGTCGGCCACGAAGCTGGAGCAGCCCTCCCAGGTGAAAAGTTCAGGGTGACTCGTTGGTGTGGGCCGGAGAGTCGTGGAAACAAACTTCTGAACGACAGGAAAATAAACACAGAAGGACAAAGTTGACCTGAGGATTGTGTGTTTGTGTGTGTTTGTGTGTGTTTGTGTGTTTGTCTTCCCCTCAGCAGAGAGACATCAGAAAGTCCAGACTGACCTTGACTCCACACTCGTTGACGGGGCAGAGCAGCAGCGGTGTACGCTCAGGAAACAGGAAGGAAAACTGACGCTGGAAGTTGTGAGCGATGTTTAACATTCGTGTCTCGTTGGCAGAGTTGACTCTGTAGGACTCTGGACTTAGATCCTCCTCCAGGTTCTGGGTGGGACTGTTGAGTGACAGCAGGTGGAGAAGGTCCGGTCTGTTTGTGTTATCTTTCATTCATGACCCTGGTGTCAGTTAGAACAACGTTTTCATGGCCAAGACCATTTTGTGTTTTCATCCCTACTTCTCAGACTTTGTCGCTGACGTCTGTTAACTCGTCCTTTTGTTTGTTCTGACGAGTCATTTTGGTTTACTGAGAATAAAGATCGAACCTTCGTAGTTTTGTCTTTCTCTCTTTTGACACCGTGGATCTCTGTGTTTTATTAGACCGTCTTAAAGGTTAAAGCAGTCGGGTGGTTCTGTGAATTCTCTCTCTGGCAGAACCCCGGCTGTTTAGTACGTCTTCATTTACAAAAACATTCTCTCCTCCTTACTGATCTTAAAGGACGGATTACACAACCTGAGATCACTGAGATGTAGACAGATCGTTGTCCCCAGAGTCTGAACTGAAATGGGAAAGAAGGTTTTCAGGTTCTCTGCCCCCCCCCTGTGGAATAATCTTCAGACTGAATTTAAGTCTGTGACGGTTTTTAACTCTGAAGTTAAAGGGTTTAGATCTCAGAGGGACAAACCTGGTTAAAAAAGGTTCAATAAATCAAATCAGAGTACCTGTCTCTGAGGGTGTCCTCCAGCTCCATGGTCTGTCTGTCGTCTCCCTCCATCGTCTCTCCACCTTCATCCAGTTCCTCTCAGTCAGCTCTAAAACTGTTTCCCTCTGTCGTAAAAGAAGAAACATATCATTAAAGATAATTAAATGACTAAGAGACCATGAACATCTCCAAACAAAGTCATGATATAGAAACGTGTTAAACTCCACCGTGAAGTGAGTTTAACTGTGAGTGTAACAGTGAGTTTAACTGTGAGTGTAACAGTGAGTTTAACTGTGAGTGTAACGGTTAGTGTAACGGTGAGTATTCAGCTGTTAAAATAACCATCTGTGAACGTTTATAACGACAAACAATAAAAACACATTAAAAACCACAAACCTCTGATGTTTGACTCACTCAGACTCACAGCAGAAATAAACTCTTCATGAAGTTTGTCCGTAGTCTCTGTTGGACGGTTGAAGGTTTCCATAGCAACAACAAGACAGAGAGACGTGATGACGCCACACTGTGTTGCTTTTACGGGCTCCCGGAAACGTAGATGTATATACAAACGCTAGATGGCTCACGCACACTGTTAGCCAATGGAGACCTGAGTACAAGCATGGCGGCCATCTTGCTACAGGCAGCTCGACCACTCCTACCATTCCAGTCTACGGTTCATGTAACATTTAAATAACCATAGATTGATTAATTTTAAACTGATTTTCCAACGGTTTAGTTTGTAACAAACCTCAGAGTTTCAGTTATGTTCCTGTTTACTGAAGAATAATTTTAACCATGGATTTACATAAATAAACATTAAACAGATAGGTAGATCAATAGCTATAGATCTACACACACAAGGCAGTTATATTAAATCATTTATATATAAAACGTTTGTATGTTATATTAGTCACATTTCTATTATAGGGATAACTATAACAACATATAACAATAACATATATAAATATTTATATTCAGTATAAATTTCTGCCTCATGTTTCCATTTGAGATGTTTTTAACAAACCAAACAGTTTAGAAATCATGTGTAACTTCAGTTTTGTTGAATCTAAAGAGCATTTCTGCCTCTTTAACTGATGTCAAATTACTGGGTCAACTTTGTAACTTTGGTCTCAGTCACAGAGAGTCTGTTAGACAAGTTAGACAGCTGATAAACACAAACACATCCACAAAGACTGACACTTTGACTAACTAACCAACTAAATAAATAAACAAATTAATAACAGGCTGTCATACAAGAAATTAAAATCTTGATTGTGGTCTCAGCCTTGATAACTCCCGTAAAGCAACTCAAAGTTAGCCATTGCACACAAATAGCCGTGAAACAACTGTGCTTCATGATTAAGTCTTTTTGTTTTTCTCAAAGTAAATCTGTCATTTTAATCTGTCCAAACATCCTGACTCACCGCCACGTTATTAAGGTCTGTAATAAACTAAACCGTTTGTAAATCTGCCGAGATTTCAGCGAGTTAAGAGGATTTTAGATGATGTAGATTTACTCACCTTCAGTCCGCTACCATAGAGAGAACCAGAGTGGTATACTGGAGTAAGATGGCCGCCGTGTTGGGACGCCAGTGACTCCGCCTCATAGAGTCATCTAGCCTTTCTTCCAGATATCTATGCTCTGAAATATCAGAAAATATCTTTTTACAAGATTTTCACATTAAAAAAAACGAGTTTTAATTCAATTAAAAAAGCTTCATGAGATAAAGACTGAGATCTGCTCACTGTTCTGTTTCCTGGAGGCGGGAACGGAGGAGGAGGAGGAGGAGGAGGCGGGAACGTTAAAATGACAGGAAGTGTTACAGACGGAGGAGGAGGAGGAGGAGGAGGAGGAAGAGTCCAGCGGTGTGAGAGATCCGACATCATGAATCCGCTGAGTTTATTTACAGCTCGGAGAAAAGTGAGCTGAGAACAAACGGGATGGTCTAATTTATCGGTGAGGACGAGGTCGTGAGTGTTGGAACCGTTTAGACATAAAGTCCTTTTTTTACTTCGATAACGGATCAGAAATCTACGAGACGGGACTGAGGAAGTCTTTAGGAGAAAAACAGCTCAAAATGTTGAGTTATTGGACAGTCTGGTTGCCCCGTTTGGACACAGTGAGGTAGTTAAAGAGAGCTGTGCTGTTAACTGATGCTGCCAAAGTAACTGTGACCGTTACACTTACTGACAACACTCCCTCCTCTGCTGGAAAAGTCCGCCATTACAGTCAAACTGTGGTGAAATGTTAGGAAAATAAGGCAGTGAGGGATAAATGTAAGAGTTAGAGTGAAGCAGCCGAAGCTGGAGAGGGTCTAGAAGGTTCTGCTGGAGTCTGGAGAGGTCCGTTACTCATGTAGCCTCATCACACGAGCCTTACCGAACATCATATCAATCCGCGGGAAGGAGTCCGGTCTGGTTACCTTACAGTTATTTTCTAACAATCATTAACTTTAGAGACTTTACTAAACTCTTAACTCATTAACTTTAGAGACTTTACTAAACTCTGAACTCATTAACTTTAGAGACTTTACTAAACTCAGAATCATTAACTTTAGAGACTTTACTAAACTTTTAACTCATTAACTTTAGAGACTTTACTAAACTCTGAACTCAGACTCACAGAGCTACAAACGGATCATTTTCTCCTCATAAACACAGTTAAAGGTGATGTAGGCAGGAAGCTGTTAGAGAAGCTGTTCATGTGGATGCAGGAAAAATAGTTTTTTTAGGGTCTTTATTTTGTTTAATTTGATATTTATTCATGTTTGTCCTCCTCAGGTTCTTCTGAATCTGCTCTAACTGCAGAAATGTAAATAAGTCACATTTTTTATTTTTCTGTAATTTGATATTTTCTGTAGAAGTGACTTCAGTAGTTCTCGGTTCATGTGCTCTGAAATACACTTTACTTGATAAAATGTGTGTATTTATGTTAAAGATTAGAGTTTTAAAGAAATAAATTAGTTTGGTTTGAATTTATTAAAGTGGGTCGTGACTGAAGGATCATGGGAAAATGTGGGTCCCAGTGTAGAACCACTGCTATAGATTTCTGAACATGTCTGATTATTCTGTCAGTACTCAGACCCCAGTCAGTGAGTGTTTGGATGTGACCTGTTGTCTATGTTCTGCAGCCCTCTCCATCCTTCTTCATGTGTGTCTAAAACTCTTCCTCCTCTTTTTAATGTTTATTTACGTTAACAGAAAATGGATGTTTTAGTGGAGGACGATGAGGACAGAGCAGACTCTGACGTATCGAGCTGTCTGTCTCTGAGGAGCGACCGGTCCAGAGAGATACCTCCACTCTTCAGTAACGAACCAGAACACCCAGGAACGAGGTAACAGACGGTTTCAGTGCGACTAAACCGAGAGATGATGATGATGATGATGATGAATGTGATCTGGTTATCCTCTTCTTAGTTCCAGTGAGAGCGGTTATTAATCTGTCCGAACAATCTGAGAGGACTAAGACAACTCGCTGAGTCTCTGAATTATTGACAGTGGCTGTAAAACTGAATAAAATCACAGAATCATGTGAAATGAAAAGAATAAAACTATGTTTGCAGAGTCCGGCCTGAAGAGGAGAGAGCAGACTCTGACGTATTCAGCTGTCTGTCTCTGAAGAGTGACCGCTCCATAGAACTTCCTCCTGTCTTCAGTAATGAACCGAAACACCCAGGAAGGAGGTAACTCCAACAAATCATCAGTTCATCGTCCTTTAATAACAGGCTGGAGCTGTCAGTCACCTGTTAAAGTCATTTAACTGATCAGACAGTTAAACCTCTGAATGATCAGCAGAGAAGTAAACTGGATTTATTGGATATGAATAAAAACGTGTCGTGTGTCGTAGAGTCCGGCCTGAAGAGGAGAGAGCAGACTCTGGAGTATCGAGCTGTCTGTCTCTGAGGAGCGACCGGTCCAGAGAGATACCTCCACTCTTCAGTAACGAACCAGAACACCCAGGAACGAGGTAACAGACGGTTTCTGCTGTAAACTGACAGATGAAGACGCAGTGACTGAAGATCCATGAGACACAAAGCTAAATGCTTTCTGTAAAAAGATGTTTATGGATTAAACAACATTATTTAAAGTTTAAAATAAAGTCTTTATCCTCCTCTTAGTACGAGGTGGAGCCGTCAGTCATCTGGAAAAACCTTCAGAATCATTTTACATCTCTGAATGATCAACGTGAACTTTTTATCAATGATTCATGAGAGTTCAGTAAATTCAAAGTTGTGTTTGCAGAGGACCGAGAGCAGACTCTGGAGTATCCAGCTGTCTGTCTCTGAGGAGTGACCGGTCCAGAGAGATACCTCCACTCTTCAGTAACGACCCACAACACCCAGGAAGGAGGTAACAGACGGTTTCAGCTGTAGACTGAGCTGACAGATGAGGATGAATGAAGTTAACTGAATGAAACTGATAGTTTTAGATGTTTCTTGTGTGTTCGCCTGATTATTCTCCCTGCCTGTGCATGAATTGTCTTTTTCTCTCTTCTGTTGTATGATGGCAGGTCCACCCCGCAGTAATGTGACGTAGAGAGCATGGTGACTGAGTTTGACTCCCAAGTGTTTATTTTGTCCTCACTGTTTGATAAATTTATGAGTTTTAATCTTTTTTTTAATGACCAAAGTTAAGACCAACTTGGTTCATCTCCAGAGTGGAGAGAGACTGAAACCCCACAAAGATAACTGTCTGGACTTGAACCCGTGACTCTACAGTTTAAAGATAAGAAAGTGACCCTGAACCCCAACAGTGAGTGATAACATGTGAAGAACATCAACAGGAAGAGCTGACAAACTGCAGACAGACCTTTGACCTCTGACCCTGTGATGGTCAGATGTTGATCTTTTCAACACGATTCAGTGAATCATTGTAGTGATGAAGAAATGTCTTCACAGGGAGAGGAGGAGGAGTCCTGGTTTTGAGGAGGAGCAGCCGTCCTGCGGTGCTGCGTGTCAGGACGTCCTGAAGGATCCAGACTCTACCAGTCAGACCAGACCTTTACCAAGTAAGACCATCCAACAGTCTGCGGACATCTCCACGTCTTCACGACTCCCTCAGGAGTTCTGTTGACAGGCAGGATTGGAGGTCGCAGGTGTTAATCATGAGTTCAGAAATCAGAACACAACAAATATTGATTCTTTAAAGGGATATTCTGGAGTAAAATTAATTTAGGTTGTCGACCGCTTGCTTCTCTAGTTATACCAACTTTAGTAACGACCGCAGGATAGCAATACAGAGAGACACGCCCCCAACCAAAACGCCACTCTATAGCCACAAATAATGCTCAGAACAGCACCTAACTTCATCAACAGGACATATAGGGTCACAGACATAGTACTAGACACCAAACATCTTTTTAACTTTGACTCATTTCTTTAGCAAAGAGACTAAACACAACTCACCTACTCTCTTCCAGCAGCCGCTTGTTTGTAGAGAGACCTCAGGCCAGTCCATTACAGACTACAGCGGGGTGACGCAGCTCAAGGAAGAACATTTAAGTCAATGTCAGCTTTATTTATATATCACATTTAAAAACAGTCAGTGGTCTACCAAAGTGCTTTACAGTAAGATGCGGTGCACAGAGACTCGTCCATGTGGTGAAGATTGGAGTGCAGACCAGATGATGCCGTCAGTTAAATAAAGTGGAGCACGGTTCCAGCGGAGGTGAACATTGTCTTCCTGCTAAAGTAGATGTTGTATGTTTGGCACCTGCTGTGTGTCTGCCCACGGCGAGGACGGCAGTTCAGAACAAGGGGTTAGCTCGATGGGTGAAAGACCTCCTAGCGTCTGATGGGAGCCGTCTGCGGCGAGTTGACTTGGTTGAGGAGAGAAGAGCTCTGTGCCCAACGCTTACTGCTGGTTGAGGAGAAGATCCTGAGCCATGAGGGCACAAGCTGCAGATGGAGGAGACACAGCAGTTGCAGGATCCTCCTCCAGTACAACCAAAGCCTTATTGTGAAGGGTTAGCCATGGTTGTTGGGAGCCAGCCTTTTGGCGGGGTCAGGCATCCCACTGCGGGACACTGCTGTGGACTGGGAAGGCTGAGGCTGCTTTCTGGTTGACTGGAGTTGTGGACCAAGAGCTTTGCTAAAGTAATTGAATCCAATAATCAGCAGTGTGATGTTCTCTTGTCTGTCGTTGTTAAAGGTGGTCTACAGGAGGTCTTACATCAACATAAGGACAGTCTGAGGAGGAGATGTGAACGTGTGAGGGAAGGAACGGATGAAAGAGGAGGTGAGACCCTCCTCAGCAGGATCTTCACTGAGCTCTACATCACTGAGGGACTGAGTGAGGAGGTGAACACCCAACATGAGGTGAGACAGCTGGAGACCGCTTCAAAGAGGAAGACCCTCCATGACGAACCCATCAAGTGCCATGAGATCTTTAGAGTCTTACCAGGTCGACAGGAAGTCGTCAGATTGGTTCTGACCAACGGCGTGGCTGGTGTTGGAAAAACCTTCTCAGTGCAGAAGTTCACTCTGGACTGGGCAGAGGGTTTGGAGAACCAAGACCTCCATCTGGTGGTCCTGCTTTCATTCAGGGAGCTGAACCTGATCAGAGATGAGCGCTTCAGTCTTCTGGGTCTGCTCCATGTTTTCCATCCAACACTAGAGAAGGTCACAGCAGAGACGCTGGCTGTCTGTAAACTTCTGTTCATCTTTGACGGTCTGGATGAAAGCAGACTGTCTCTGGATTTCACAGACTCTGAGGTCCTGTCTGACGTCACACAGAAGTCTTCACTGAACGTTCTGTTAACAAACCTCATCAAGGGGAACCTGCTCCCCTCAGCTCTCATCTGGATAACTTCTCGACCTGCAGCAGCCAATCAGATCCCTCCTTCATGTGTGGACAGGATAACAGAAGTACGAGGCTTCACTGACGACCAGAAGGACGAGTACTTCAGGAAGAGGTCCAGAGATGAAGATCTGTCCAGAAGAATCATCTCACACATCAAGTCCTCCAGGAGCCTCCACATCATGTGTCAGATCCCGGTCTTCTGCTGGATCACTGCTACAGTTCTGGAGGACATGATGAGCAGAGAGCAGAGAGGAGAGCTGCCCAAGACCCTGACTGACATGTACTCACACTTCCTGCTGGTCCAGACTAAGAGGAAGAAGCAGAAGTATGAAAGAGGACATGAGACAAGTCCTCAGGAGCTGACTGAGGCTGACAGTGACGTCCTCCTGAATCTGGGGAGGCTGGCCTTTGAACATCTGGAGAAAGGAGACATCATGTTCTACCAAGAAGACCTGGAGCGGTGTGGTCTGGATGTCTCAGAGGCCTCGGTGTACTCAGGAGTTTGTACAGAGATCTTCAGAAGAGAGAGTGTGATCTTCCAGAAAACTGTTTACTGTTTCGTTCATCTGAGCGTTCAGGAGTTTCTGGCTGCAGTCTACATGCTCCACTGTTACACCAACAGTAAAACAGAAGTTCTGGAGGCCTTCTTAAATCAGGGAGACCGCAGATACTTCAGGCCAAACCAATCACTGGAAAACTTCCTGAGAATCGTCATGAATAAATCTCTTCGTAGTCAGAACGGTCACCTGGACCTGTGTGTTCGCTTCCTCCACGGACTCTCTCTGAAGTCCAACCAGAGAGACCTCTTAGGAGGTCTGCTGGGCCCGACAGACAACAGTCCAAAAATCATCCAGAAAGTCATCATCAACCTGAAGAAGATGAACAATCACAAGATCTCTCCTGACAGAAGCATCAACATCTTCCACTGCCTGACAGAGATGAACGATCACTCGGCCAATCAGGAGATCCAAGACTTCCTGAAGACAGAGAGCAGATCACAGAAGATCCTCTCGGACTTCCACTGCTCTGGTCTGGCCTACATGCTGCAGATGTCAGAGGAAGTCGTGGATGAGTTGGACCTTAAGAAGTACAAAGCATCAGATCAGGGCCGGCTGAGACTGATTCCAGCCATGTGGAACTGCAAAAAGGCTCGGTAAGCTCAGATGTGGCTTAATCTCACAGATCAGGAACATGAAGAGTTCAGTCCTTCAAACACAAACTCCTGAGATTTTATCACTCCTCTTTAATCAGTCTCAGGTTTAGTTTTCAGAAATATTGATCTGTTTTATGTTGTCTTTAAACAGTTTTGGATATCACATATCCTCTGATAACATATTTTGTCATGTCGTGTCGTGACAGACTTTATAACTGTGAGCTGTCAGATACTGACTGTGAAGCTCTAGCCTCAGCTCTGACATCCAACCCCTCCCATCTAAGAGAGTTGAGCCTGACCCTCAACACCCTGAAGGATTCCGCAGTGAAGCTGCTGTCTGCTGGACTGGAGAGTCCACAATGCCGACTGGAAAGTCTGAGGTCAGTTTACTGGGTGTGTTAAGATTGACAGCGGTGCTGAGGTACCGAGAACCTTCTGTATGTAAGGAGGAAACAAGAGCTTTAGTTTGAAGTGATAGTTTTTGGCATTTTTGACTTTATTGAAGAGAGACAGGAAACAGAGTGGAGAGAGTGGGGGTTAGACATGCAGCGGAGGGTCGAGGGTTCCTCCAACTGGAACGTACATCTTTGGTTCAGTCTAAAGAAAAAGAAAAAAACCCGACACGTGATAATATTTGATTCTTTTTCAAGGTGCTGCAACAGTCTTAGGGTTGCTTAAAAGTTAGAGGTCACTTTAGAAGGGGGGGAAATCAGGCTTAAGTTGACAAACAGCATCTCTATCTGCTGGAATAGAGAAGGGGGCAGAGGATTTTTGAGTAGGCACGTTTTTGATGTCAGAATCATTTCTCCCTCTTTTGCTTTATTGGCAGATTGTGGCGCTGCAGTTTGTCAGAGACCAGCTGTGCTTTTCTGGCCTCGGCTCTGCAGTCCAACCCCTCCAACCTGAGAGAACTGGACCTGAGTGAAAACGAGGTGGGGGATTCAGGAGCGAAGCTGCTGTGTGCTTTTCTAAAGAGTCCAGACTGTCGACTGCAGACCCTGAGGTCAGAAACCATTTTGACTTCAGTGCTGAGATGATTCTGATGTGAAAGTTAGTGCTGACACTAAAGTGCAGACAGGACAGGAGTGTCTTACTGCTGAAGTCTGTTTTCTTCTTCTCTGGTTTAGTCCTTGACTGTGGCAGACCTACGCTGAGTCATAGATTTAAAACTTATATATATTTTTTCCTCTGTATTCAGATTGAGTTCCTGCAGATTGTCAGAGACCAGCTGTGCTTCTCTGGCTTTGGCCCTGAAGTCCAACCCCTCCCACCTGACAGATCTGAAGCTGAACAACAACCAGCTGCAGGATTCAGGAGTGGAGCTGCTGTGTGTTTTTCTGGAGAGTCCAGACTGTAGACTTGAGTCTGTGGGGTCAGAAACCACCTTTCTCTCCTGTATTAGGACTGATTTAATGTGTATAAATAAATATTTCCGGATGGTTTGTATTTTATGAGAATTTGTTTTTTAAATGTTTGTATTTTTCAGTTTTAATTTTCATCCTGGTGTTTTTAGTTTCTGATTATCTACATTTTTCTTCAGCTGTTTCCGGGTTGAAGAGTTCACACAGAAGCCCTGTTTCCCTCTATATTCAGATTGAGTGGCTGCAGTTTGTCAGAGACCAGCTGTAGTTCTCTGGCTTTGGCCCTGAAGTCCAACCCCTCCCACCTGACAGATCTGGACCTGAGAGGGAACAACTTGAAGGATGAAGATGTGAAGCTGCTGTCTGATCTTGAAGAGAGTCCAGACTGTCGACTGCAGACTCTGAGGTCAGTAGAGGGTCGGAGTCAGTCCATGTTGGTTTCAGCAGTGAGACTAAACACAGCTGATGAGGAGACTCTCTGTGAACTCTGATTTATGACTTCAGCTCTCTGTCTTCTTCTCTCATCAGCTGGAGGTGATAATGATCGGAGTCAGAGTCTGAGGGATCAGAAAGGTGGATGTGCTGACCCAGGATCAGCCGTGTCCTGATGACCCGGAGAGCCCGAGTCGTCTTGAGTGTGGAGGTTCTGACCCGGTCGTGTTACTGAGTGGAGAGGAGAGTCGTGACTGACGGAGGAATCACACCGAGTGGAGCTGTCATTGTTCAACTTCACTCGTGTGAAGTTACACAAACAGCCGCCGCGGCAAAGTGAACAAAAACAACACTGGAGGGAGGAGTGAAATACAGTATTTTAAAGACGGTCTTTATTTTATATTTGGTTTAAAAAAGAAAGTTTATGATTCGTCTGTCGAGACTTTTTTTAATGTATTTTTGACTTTCCTGTTACACGTCCAATAAAATCAATGTTGGAGAGAAAATGGTTATTATCTAACTGAGTTACTTTTTAAAGGAGTAATCCGTGATCAGTAATCAAATTACTTTTTAAAAGTAACCATGGCAACACTGCTTAAATGTGATAAACAGGATTTTTATTCTTATTTCTGATCATAAATCTCATCAAGTCAGAGAAACAGCTACATTTTCACACCATTGAGGAGGAGAAACTCAAAACAAAGTTAAAGCACACGACATTCCCTCCTCCTCCTCCTCCTCCTCCTTCGTCTCCACCTTTTGGAGGATGTTTCCATCCGGCTGCTTCCTCCAGCTCAGCTCGATGTTTTCGTTCAGCCCCTCGTCCTTCAGCTTCTGCTGGAGCTGAAATCAGAGACGAAGGTCATGAAAACTCTCGTCCAGAGGATCTTCTCACCTGGAGACGCTGTTTTAGTCACACGTAACAAACGAAGGAACGCCAACGTTTCTGTTCCTGTATGAAGAGTTTTATATGATCCACACGTTTGACGGAGCGTTTGGCAGCACAGTCTCATGCTGGACTCAGACTGGTGTCAGTCGGTGTGACTTAGATCCAGAAAATACACGGACGGCACCAGACTTGAACCAGATCCGTTCTGGAGTTGACCTTTGACCTGTTCCTGAGCGGTTTGTGGTTTCCTCCCTCTGCAGACTCTTTCTTGTGCTGCTGTGCTCTTTTGAATTTGCATCAGGTCAAATCCTCCATCGTCTGATTTTAATACACCCTTCACAGTCATTTGATTGATTTTGCATTTAATTGAAAAGGTGGAGCGTGTTTTACCTGCTCGAAGACGTCCTCCATCACAGCAGGGTCTCTGAGATCCGGAGAGGGGCTCATCTTCTGCACACTCAGCCTGAACACCTGTTTGGTTATCCCTGTGAGAAACAGAGAAGATCCTTCACGTCAGAATCTACAGTATCCTCCAATTTCATTTCATTCAGAGTTGAAGTGACGTTCAAGCTCTGAGTGACCAACCTACTGAGAGACAGTTTCAGTCAGTGATCAGAGTCCAAACTCAGTTTCAGTCAGAGGGTCGTCTCACCGGCAGTGTGGCAGATGAACGCTCTCCTGTAGCCGCAGGGCCAGTCCTCCCATTTCCCAGAGTTTCCAAAGTCTGCTGCCACACAAGACTCCTTCGAATAGAGGTTGTTGGGTTCTGAAAACCCCAGGTTCCAGTCTCGAAACGTGGAGTCACTCCCATCGAACCATTTCCAGGACTCTCTGTAAAGGCCGATCCAGACTTCGTTCAGGAACGGAATCATGTCTTTGATCTCCTCGTTCTCGGCCATGTTTCTCACACTGGCCAGGTCTGTGTAGTGTTCCCTGCAGTAGCTCTGGGCCTCAGTCCAGGTCATGTCGTCGGTGATGAGGACAAATGTCACATTCGGACCTGAAAAAAGAGACCACAGCTGACGGTTGGTGATGGGGGTGCAGAGCGCTCAGGTCAGTTTCAGACTGATGGAAGCATGTCCATGTCTCTGTGTCTCAGATAGGGATGGGAATCGAGAACCGGTTCTTGTTGAGAACTGGTTTCAAATGGTTCAATATGTCAACATCATTTACATTTTATCTTAACGATTCTTTTCTTCCGGGTGCGTTTAAAAACGGTCTTGCGAGAGCCAGTCAACGTGAACAGGAACAGAGACGGAGAAAAAAAACATGGCGGGCAGTACAAAAGTAGACAGAAACGATCTAAAGCGTGGCTTAATTTTACTAAGAAAGACGACAACAGTGCGACGTTCGTCGAGCAGCGAGAACATACAAAGATGGAAACACCAGAAACACGCTTCAACATCCATCAACGGGGCACGGCTTCAAATATAAGGAAACACATGTATTCGATGTTCTCCGCCGGTCGTCAGCCGCTGCAGCTCCGTCTCAGCACGGCATTGTGGGTATGAATGTTAGGGTGACCTTACATCCTCTTTTACCCGGACATGTCCTCTTATGGGGGGCTGTTCTGGGGAGTTTAAAAAGTCCTTCAAATGTCCTGAACGTGTTTTCATTGATGATATAACAGAGCAGAGGATCAGTGCTGTCTGCAGCTCCGCCCCTCCGCTCACTTCTTAACAAAGTCACTGATGCGACGCACACATGCGCTGTCTTTGGGAATTCAGAATAACATACATCTGTTTCTGTTATCAGAGACTCAATAAAAGTCTGAGTTAACAGTGAAAACCTAAAGTCTACTTTTTATAACCGAAGAAAGGCATCGATAAGGGAATCGTCAAAGACCTGAATCGATAAGCAGAATCTATAACGGCATCGATAAAATCTTATCAGTTCCCATCTCTAGTCTCAGACTAACGAGGTCACGTGTATTTTAAAGATCGGTTTTGTCCGACTGATAATAACTGGATTGTTTAACCCGATCGTAAAGAGTCTTCTTACCCGTGACGTTGCAGCAGCATGATTTCAGTCTCGACGTACAGCTGACAACGTTCCAGTCTCCCCAGTAGTTCAGGGTTACGCAGAGTTCCCTACTGTCGATTCTGTCCGAACTGGACCAGTGTCTGAACCCGGCCTCACCGGGGTCACCATAGAAACTCGGGTCAGACAGTGACCATCTCCAGCTTTCCACGTCATCGTACAGCCCTATCCAGGCTCGCTGAAAACAACATGTGAGTGATACGTCATGAATCTGTTACTGAATTCAAACCAAAGAAGAAATCAGAGAGAGACCGGATCCAGAAACACTGGAGACTTCTCTGGACCCGGGTCCATCTAAGGCGGACTGAGGGGAAGAGGAGAACTGTCCGACTGCTGGTGATCAGCTCACATTTATATTGAGATCGAGGTGAAACATCTGCCCCAGGTCTGCCATGCTCCTCACGGTGTCCACGTCCTCCATGCTGCTGAGCGTGGCCAGGTCTGTGTGCTTCTCTCTGCAGAAGCTCCGAGCTTCATCCCTGGTCTTGTGTTCGTAGTAGAAGTAGAACCGACGTTTGACTTGGAGTGAGACGGCGCACAGTGCTGAGGGGACAGACGAGTAAATGAATCAGAGCAGGAACCACAGAAATATTCAACATATCTAAATCCTTTTCTTTATGTTTTAAACTGATTTA